TCCTCCATTCCTCCCTATTTACAAAGATTTTGTTCCTATTTTTCCATTTTCTCATATTAATCCCATTCCCTTCTATCCTTTCCCCTACCCCTCCTACTTCCTTCCCCTTTGCCTCTTTGCTTCCTATTTCATGTTACCTATTATACATTTTAGTCTTTATTTACATTTTCAGTTTCTCACACAAGAGAAACTATTCGGTATTATTTCTTTTTCTTAAGTAAGTGCTGTGGCTAAAACTTTCAATTCTATGTTGAATAAAAATGGTAAGAAGGAATACTTTTCTTTTTGCCCAATCTTAGAGAAGAGCATAATAGTTATTTATAAATGATTATATCTTTTAATTTGGGGGGGAAGATACCCAGAAGAGAAATATCTGGGTCAAATGGGACCTCTAATCCTAGTTTTCTGAGGTATTTCTACACTGAGTTCCACAGTGGTTGCACCAGTCTACACTCCCATCAACAGTGGAGAAGGGTTCCTTTTACCCCACATCCCCACCAGCATTTGTTGTTGGTTGATTTCTTGATATTAGCCATTCTTTCTGGATTGAGATGACATTTCAGTGTTGTTTTAACTTGCATCTCTCAAATGACCAGTGGTGTTGATAAATCCTTAGCTAACCTTATCAAAAAAAAAAAAAAGAAGAAAGAAAAGAAGAAAAAGAAAAAGAAAAACCCAAACTCATACAATAAGAAATGCAAAGCCTGAATTCCCAACAGATCCTATGAAAATCCAGAGGATCATCAATACCTACTTCAAGAACTTGTACTCTAATAAACATGGAAAACAGAACTGCACAGATTCCTAGATACATATGAATTACACAAACCACAGCAATATATGCACACCCATGTTTATAGCAATGCAGTTTGTAATAGCTAAATCTTAGAACCAACCCAAATGTCCATCAACTGATGAATGGTTTAAAAAGATGTGGTTTTTCTATACAATGGAATAGTACTCAGCCATAAAGAAGGATAAACTTGAGACATTTATAGCTAAATGGATGCAGCTTGAAACTATATGTTTAAGTGAGTAAATTGAACACATATGCAAATATCGCATTCTCTCTGGTGTAAGACACTAAAAGTGTAAATGGGAATCAAAATGTATAATAGACAATGTGAAATAAGAAAAAATTGTTCAAAAGGAAGGAGAAACTAGAGAGGTGAGAGGGAGAAAGAAGGAAGGAAAAAGAAAAAATGAGAAAAGAAGAAAATGGAAATGGGGTTTTCGTAAATGAGTAGGGGAAGAGGGGTTGAAGGGAGGGGAGGAAAATGGGGGAAAAAAACAAGATATAACATGTACAGATACAAATTCTCTATGATAAATGTGACCATTATGTATACCAAAAGTGCAATAAAATTTATACATACATACATAAAAAATGATTATATCATCTATGTCAGGTACAAAGATAAGTGTGTATAAAATCACTTTAATCTAACCTTTCTAACTAGGCACCGTAATTATACCCATTTTAATTATCCAGAAATTGAATCAAAAGAAGATAAAATTACTGACCAAGATGATGGAAATAACAAATAATAAAGCTAAATTTAAATGCAAATCTTTCTCTAAAGCCTAAAGCTATTCATGAACAACCAATTTTGTCATGTCACAACTTAAAGTATAGAATCTCATTAAAATCCACCTTAACTTGTACATTAAGAAGTTAGAAAGAACCAGGTGTGGTGGTGGACACCTATAACTCCAGCACTCGGGAGGCTGAG